CTTTGAATTAAGATGTTTTAACATGTTGGTTTTTTTTAAACGTTCTGATGCGTTTTGTTGCGTTTAACGTATTTTTTTTTTTAGGTTAAGGATATGTGAAATATATAGCATTATAAGCGACACTCGAGCAGGATCGTCTGGGATGCAACGCATTTTATCCACGGCCTGTTTTCCTTTTTGCCTTCTGGGAGGGGGTTTCAGGGGACCCAAAGCAAAATATCCGGATCTGGCCACAGTTTTCTTCCATAAAGTGTCGTCTGTCTTGTGAAGCTGTGTATTCAAGCAGTCTTTCTGCTATGTATTCAAAATGGACAGTGATATGTGTGTGTGTGTGTGTGTGTGTCCGTCCCCCCCTCCGTGTCCATCCAGGCGCTGTATGAAGTCCCTCCCTCCCTCCCTCCCTCCCCCGGATGGGTTTGTCGAGGTCACAATGAAAGTTGGACACGGCTGCCCTGCCGCCTTGAAAACCCAGCCAGCTGTTAGAAGCAGCCGTGTCGGTTATCCCCACCCAGAAACAGACCCCCCTCCCCCCCCCCCTTGGCAGAGCCCCCCCCCCCCCCCTTCTGACGTCTCCCCTTTCTCCTGGCGGCTGGTGCATCTTTAATGAGGACTAGTTCCTTGGAATGCATGCGGCCCTCCGCAGGGAAAGCCAATTCTTCTGCATGATGATCTATCGATTTCTTGGCCCTGCCTTCATTGCAATGCAGGGGACGTGAACCTGAATCCGTTGACCGTCGTGGAACCCAGGCGAGGGGTCTGCTTCCAAAATGTCAGCAACCGGCTCTCTGCCCGGTTGCTGGGTGGGTGTGGCCATGGTGGGCGTGGCCTAGTCGGCCTCCTGCACCGTGGTGGGGTGGGGGGGCTGTTTTCGCTCTCCCAGACTCCGGAGGCCCTCTAGAGGCTGGAAATGGGCCCAGAACTTCTGGAAGGCCCGTTTTCTGCCCACCCCGAACCTCCACACAGTCCCTGTACTTACCTGGCATCCCAAATGGGCTGTGTGGGGACCTGGGGAGGGTAGGGTGGGCGGGGCCAGCCAGGAGTGGGGTTTACCGGTTCGCTGAACTGGTAATTAAAAATGGTGAAATTAGCAACCGGCTCGCCCAAACCGGGGTGAACCGTTAGCAGTCGACTTCTGCCCGGCAGGGTCTCGAAGAAGGGGTTGAGTTGGGAGGTCACCCCTCCTTCCCCCCGGGACTAACTTCAAATGGGACTTTCTTGGGGAGCTCTGAGGGTGCCGCCAAGGGCCTGGGGGAGGGAGGAGGAGGAGAGAGAAATGGGGCTGGGGGCATTCCTGCAGAGGCATCCGTGCACCCCCAGGCAAGAGAGGACCTGAGAGAAGGGGGACGAGGGGGGTTGTGGGATACTGACCCCCATAGACTGGCTGCTTCAAGCAAGGAGTGTAATGTGGGGGGGGGGGTTTGCTTTGCTCTGCTCTCAGTAGATCATGGGATCCACACACACACACACACACACACACACACACACATCCCCAAGTAAATGATGGACAGGGAGAAATCCTGAATCAGGTCTGAATCTAGAGAGTTTAAGATTTCATTTAATTAGTTTCCAAAGACTTATATGCTTCCTTTCCTTTTTCTCTCCTTCCTTCCTTCCTTCTTTCCTTCTTTCCTTCCTTCCTTCCCCTCTTTCCTTTCCTTTCCTTTCCCTTTCTCCTTCCTTCCTTTCCCTCTTTCCTTCCCTTCCCTTTCCTCTTTCCTTCTTCCTTCCTTCCTTCCTTCCTTCCTTCCTTCCTTCCTTCCTTCCTTCCTTCCTTCCTTCCTTCCTTCCTTCCTTCCTTCCTTCCTTTCCTGCTTCCTTCCCCTCTTTCCTTTCCTCTTTCCTTCTTCTTTCTTTCCTCTCCTTTCCTTCTTTCCTTTCTTTTCCTTCCCCCCCTCCCTCCCTCCCTCCCTTCCTTCCTTCCTCCCTCCCACCTTGCTTTAGTTATTCTGGGTTTACACCTGGGGGGGGGGGAACCCTGGGGGAGGGGCTCCAGAACAGTTGAAGGCCTGGTGACCTGCCGCCCTTGACCTTTGAACCTCTCCTTGCTCTTCCAGGTGGAGCTGACCGGCAGCAGCATCTTCGACTATGTCCACCCAGGAGACCATCTAGAAGTGGCCGATCAGCTGGGGCTGAAGGCTCCCCTGGGCCCCGGTCACTCCCAGCGTCCTAAAGCCCCCCTCCTGGGCCCCTCCGCCTCGTCCTCCAGCTTGTCTGAGGGTCCTCAGTCAGGTACACCCACTCTTGGAACCCCCCCCCCCAAAGTGACCCCCAAAGCAGGCTCGGAGGCTGTGTGGTCGCCTGTTGAGTCAGGAAGCACTTAGCACATGCTCAGAGGTGCCCTCTGCTCCAGTCTGGAGCTTACTTCACAGAATTCTGACAAGCAACGGATTGCCTGGCAGAGCCCATAACCTGGTTTGTTGGATGTATCATGTCTGCGTGCCTGAACCCAGCCGGTTAAAACTTGGCTTGAATAAACCATGGTTTTCTGAGGCATGTCCCAAGCTTGTCCTGATGGGGGTCTGGGCACCCTTTCCTCCAGAGTAAACCTCTTTGCTGAGGTCTGTGGAGGGGTGTTGGGGGCTGAGCCAGTTCTGGCCTTTCATTGTATCTGGGCTTGTTGGTGATGAGGGTCTCAGCTTCACCTTCCCTTCTCCCCACCCACCCCCGAACGACGGGCAGGGAGAAAGAACGAGCCCCTCCTTTCCCTCCCCTGGATTGTTGCCGGCTGAGCTTTTATCTGGGGAACTAGTTAAAGATTTATACCACGACGGCACCTGAAAGAGAATAGCAGATCAGCCGCTGTCAAGGCTGCGTCCTCAGAAGGAGGAGGAGGAGGAGGAGGAGGAGGAGGAGGAGGAGGAG